GTTTAAAGTTAGTTTTTTTAATATGATTACTACAATGTTATTCAAAGTTTAAAGTTTTTTTATATGATTACTACAATGTTATTCAAAGTTTAAAGTTTTTATATGATTACTACAATGTTATTCAAAGTTTAAAGTTTTTGTATATGATTACTACAATGTTATTCAAAGTTTAAAGTTTGTATTTAGTTTCTTCGCTACATTGCTTTTTGTAGTTTGTACGTTTGTTCGTTACATTACAATTCAAAGTTTAAAGTTAGTATTTAGTTTCTTCGCTACATTGCTTTTTGTAGTTTGTACGTTTGTTCGTTACATTACAATTCAAAATTTAAAGTTAGTATTTAGTTTCTTCGCTACATTGCTTTTTGTAGTTTTTAAGTTTGTTTGTCACATTACTATTCAAAATTTAAAGTTAGTATTTAGTTTCTTTCTTTATAGGAAGTGTTTTTTTTGTGGAAACCTGTGGTAAAACTTGAATTTTTTTATTTGTGTTTAATCTTTGTTTTATGTACATGTAAAAATGCAGAAATGAATAATTTTATAAATGTCTAATTCTATGATTTTCAGGAAGTTAGCTTCTCGTTTCCCAAGGCTGCTTCATCTTTGGGAGTATCTGTGATGACAAAACCGTCTTACGTACGTCTTTCAGGTTTTTCTTCAGCTACAAATCTAAAACAAACTGTTTCAACAATAGAACCACTGTTTCAGTTAGTGTATGAAAAGAAGCCATTTGGATCTTCAGCAGATCACAGGTAATGAAAACTTTGATGCAGTTTAATTTTCACAATAAGTGTATCTATCCATACAATTGTGGGTGACATGATTAGTTAGCTGTATAATTAATCAAGTATTTACTGTATTCTTTGATAGATTGTTTAGGCAGAGTATTCATGATGAAACTTTGTTGAATGGACGGCAACTACCTGTTGTAGAAACACAAGTGTAGACGATGATGTTTCGAAAGTCTTCCGCCTTTCGTCTTCAGTATTCACTGTCTTTTCTTGTCACATGAGATCATTTGCAACTATTATAAAGTAGAGAATAAATAGTGTTCTAATGCATTAGGTCATTGTCTAGAAGGTGTTTAAGACATTGCTTGCTTTTATTGCTTCTTTAATTTACGAGATGGACCAGGCATGATCCTGTGGTTAGTGTGTTGAATATTTTTCTTTCAGCTGTGATTTCCTTTTTAAAAAAATCCCATTATTCAGTTCAAAGAACTGAAAAAAAAGCCCTTGTTATTGTGGGTGCAACTTGTTGACTGCTTTCCTTCTGGTCAGTAATTCAAAATGAGGGACATCTGTACTAGAACCTTAGGTGTTTCAGACTTGGAGGCTTAACCCACATGTGCATAAAGTGCAATTCATTTTAAAAAATTCCAGTTTACGGTGAGTATTTAGGTAAATTACAATGATATATTTCACTGTTTTGAAACTAAATGTTCATATATGTAATAATGATATTTTGAACAGGAAAGAAAAAGCAAACATATTTCTAGTATTTTGTTTACTATTTCTCATGAAGTTTACACAAGCCTTCTAGTATGATTACAAACATTGTTTTATCTGTTGTTTAATCTAGATACGTACGGATGAGCACAGGAAATATATTGGTTACCTTACAATATCTTTTGATCATATTTTTATATGATTTCCTAATTGTAAAGCAAAAAAAAAAACTGATTCATGGGAACAGTGTACATTATTTCTCAGTGAGAATTACAGACTTCATTTAAGTTAATAATTACTGAAAATAGTTTCAAAATTTCAGTATATTAACTTCCAGATAGTATGCCAAAAGTTTTATTTATGGAAAATGCCATTTACTTGAAAACATTTTTGAAAAAAACTCCTTGAGTAATTAAACTTACCACAATTTAGCACTTATATTTAGAGTTATAATAACTAGTATTACATTATTGATAACACAGATGGGAATTTTTTTTATTTCTACTGGAATAAACAAAGCTGTGTTTTGTTAGAAATAAAAAGGTTGCAAGAAAATCTAAAAACATTATTAATTTCATGAAACATTTAATTCTGTGAATATATACTTTTTGTTGTAAATTTTGTGAAATATTTCAAGTATAATCCATTTGTTTGTATAATAATTATCAAAATCAATAAAACAAAATACCAGAGAATTTATTATGAAACTCATAATACTATTTTAAATGTGTTTGAAATGGCAAAAAATTATTTAAGTTGTCTTGTCACACTTCTTTCTTGATAAGTGTAATAATATCATGTTGTTTTTTTCACAAACAACAGTAACAGTTCTTACGGCAATCTGGCATAGCTTAGTGGTTAGGGCACTCAATTTGCAATGTGTGGGTCGTGGGTTTGAATCCCATCACCAAACATGGTCATTCTTTCCGCTGTTTTTAATTTCACTTTCAATAGTCCAAAAGTTGGCATTGGATAGTGTGAACTAGCTGCCTTTCATCTTGTCTATCACTTCTAAATTAGGGATGACTTGCACAGACAGCCATCAGTTTTTGAGAAATTCAACAGTCATTATATATTAGGACTAACATTTTTGTTTCTCACCAGAATCGTTAGTTTGTAATTTTGATAAACTTTGTAAAAAAAATCAGTTTTTAAATATCAAATCAAATTGGTATACTTTTTTATAATATAATAGAATGGTGTAAATCATCACAAACTATTTAATTGTGGTTAGATCTTTGGAATTATTTTGTATGTAATTTTTAATTTCCGTCCTAGCCGAAAAAGAAGTAAAAGAACCAACATTTTATTCACAAATAAAGTGTAGCTTCTATATTATTAGTCTCTTAGGATTTTGTTTTCTCTGTGACCCTATTTTAGGCTGATTGTTTAATAAATATCACAGGCAGACATTGAGTTATGGTCTGCCTGAAAATGACTAAACTTTGATGATGTTTTGGTACTCTTGCATTCCTAATGAAGGCAACCATCCAGGTTTAATCCTTTCATTTAGTATCAGTAATTACAGTGATTATTCATTTATATGGATCAGGTCAGATAACGAAATTTATCGAACTCTTGTTTCCTGTCTAAGGAGAAAGGTTCATTGGCATGTACAAAAGCCTTCTAGTCAGGAAAGTTTAATATTCAATTAGGTTTATGAAATTCAACGTACACTTTAACGTAAAACATAATTCTGAATGTGTTCCTGTATAAACGTCTAATTGATATTTACAAGTTCTTGTGTAATTTTGATTTAGGCTATTGATAATGTCTCAGTCGTTCGAGCTCACTTATAATCCTGAAGCCCTCAATACAGTAGTGGACTTCTTCTCACTGTCACACCATAAGCAGAACTTGAAAAGTCAATCGGAAGGTCTCAGACTGACTGCAGTAGCCAGGAGTCAGTATGAACTGTTGAAAAAACAAACTAAAGCTGAACTTAGGCACCGATTGGATCAGATATTTGAGGGAGAACAGAGAGTTGTATGTTACCTTGTTTTAGAGACTTCTTAATAAGAACAATATTTTGTTATACTGAAGCTAAAACTTTGTGATATTGAAAATATTCCTCTTTACCATAGAGTAGTTTAAGTCTTGTGTAAAAAAAACATCAAACATGCCACCAAAAAGTAAATGAAATAATTGTTATTGTTTAAAGTTATCTTAGTTTTATTCAAACAACTCTCTAAAAAGAATAGTTTCCTAATCTTCCCCCTAGTAATTTTGGTTAACCTGCCAGCCCTAAGTTGTTTGCATGATAACATTAAAAGAAACTGTGGCTTTTTTACTTATTTTCAGATATCTAGATAATTAATCTTCAATGACAAAAGAAATATTTTCCACAAGTAGGTAAAAGGAAAGGTGAATGTGTAAATTTGAAATAAGAACAGCGAGTAATAATATTTTTGCTCAAGTCTACCTAAAGTCATAAGATAACAAGGTTCCTCTTGGCTTACACTACAAATAACCAGAGTATTAAATAGTTATGTATGTCTAATTTCAAATACACTCATATTTGAATAACTATTTTTAAGATTTTTCAAACTAGGTAAAAATATATATATATATATATATATATATATTTATAACTATTTTTGTTATTTCAGCTGGAGGCAACAAGATGGGATATTCAGCTTGACATTTCAGCTCCACAAGTGGTGATTCCAGAAAACTTGTTTGATCATAATGCTGTCTTGGTAAGTATTTTGTTTTAAATTGAAGAGTTTTTTTATCGTAGATTGTCTGACTTTAAAAAGTTTTTTAAAAATGTACTTAATTCAGATTTTTTTTAAAGTAATGAAGGCACGTAGTAAACACTTTAATGTATCTCTCTGTTTAGAGATAAAGAAAAAAATTATAAGGATTTAACTAATGAAGTGGGAAAAACTACAGTTATGACAGTAGCACTGAATTGTTGATAAGTGCCTTACTATTCACGCTAGTGGGTTAGCACTTTAACTTGGTTGATAGAACACTTTCCTGTAATGTGAAAGGTTTCGAGTTTGATACCGAGTTGAAGAAAGAAGATTTATTACCGCAGTAAAACTGCAGTTTGTCTACTAGATATTTCATTATCGTGAGATAAGGCCTAAGGATGGGTTTTATTTATGAGAGGGGAAAGATGTCATAAGTGGATGTGTTAAAAAAAATACCTTGCTAGCAGTTGCTGGTAAGTTAATCTTTTAGCTCTGTTTGCCGGAAAAAGGAATACCACCGTGCGGTAAAACCAGAAAATATTGAAGGTGTTAATAATTGATAAGTTGTGAAAAACTTTTAAGTAAAATCACGTACTTTATTTTTAAAAAAATAAATAAATTAGTCATTAAAAGGAGTTGTTTTATTTTTGTTTCTATGTATCTTTAACAGTGCTGCCATTTAATTATTATTTTTTAAAGCTTAAATATTTTTTCTGTTCTTATTTTTACTAATTCTTCATTGATTTATGGGTTTAGTTTTCTTTTGTCAATATTTTATTCACATACTTTTCCAAAATGTAAGAGATATTTTATTTTGTTTTTTTACACACATCATTGTTAGGCCTATCATCAATAATACCTATTGTGAGGCATTATTAATTACAAGTGTTATGCAACTGGGTATTCAGGAATGGATTAAGGCCTGGTGTCTACATCTGTCTGGCTTTTTATACATGTATATCAGTAAATAATAATTTGTCAATTTTCTAAGGACAAGATCTTTCAATGATAACCATTCTCTTTACATTAATTGAATTAATTAATTTTTTTTAATGTTGAGTTCTTTCTTAAAACAAAGTGGTAGCACTGCCTTAGATTGGACACAAAAAAGATGTGTGTCATGTTTGTGTGTATATATATATATATATATATATATATATTGTGTCTGAATAACCATAATAGAACTTTCTTTAAAAAACTTTATGAGTCTTTGTATTTTGTGATTGAAAAATACATAATCTAGTATTTGGATGTTTTTTCAAGTTTATGAATCAGTGTAACTATTTATTCCTAGGTTGTGGTTGATTTAGGAAGACTTCATTTTGTGAATGCATCCTCAAAGTTTAAGAAGAAACAGAAAGAAAAAGAAATTGAAGAGTCTGACGACGAAGGTGAACGGCTTACTGATATTTAAGCAGAAACTAAAAACTACCTGATAATTTTTACATTGTAAACTATTTATAACAGAAATATTGCTGTAATTTAAATGTGGTTATAATTATATAGCATACACTCTCAGTTCATGTAAGGTGAAGACCAGCAAAAAAAACTCAAATTCTGCTAGCTCATCTTTGAACGCCTTATGATTAATAGTAAATAGGTTAAGTAACACTAGGTTAAGTAATACAACATTTTTACAATGAAGTTTAATGACTAAAGTACAGTTACAATGAACCTCCCGGGATAGGTCACATGGCCGAATCATTCTCTGTGACATTTTTCTCTTGCATCTTTTTCAAATTCACATGGTTATTTTCAGTACAACTTAAATGAGAAGTCATGTTAGTAGCCAATGATATGCTTACTATTTTTATTTTAAAGATACAAAAAAATTTTTATTCCTAGTGTAAAAACATGGAATGACTGAGTTACTGGAGCTGTGTAGTTAAGACTTGGCATCTTCTTGCCTCGTGCCTTTGAATTATGTAATTGGTTTAACTAATGTTTTGTTTTGTTTTGTTTTCAGTAATTGGTTCTACTTTTGTCTTGTTCAGGATTTTAACTGAATTTTTATAATTTTTGTAGACTTCCAGACGCCATGCTCAACTCCACCAGAAAATGGAGTAGAAGAAACAGAGAAACCACTTACATTCACATTGGAACCATTCACATTGGAACATCAAACAGTGGGTAACTCACTTTATGGTTCTCAAGCAGAAGTGTCTTTGCTGGATTATATGTATGAAAAGTAAGTGTATTAGTATTCTGTTACTATTAGAATTGATTAAATTTCTTTGTGATGTTCAACTGGAAGCTATATGTATCATACACTGCTATGAAACCATTTCTTCAAAGTAATACTATTAATAACTAGTATAGAATAAGTGTTTGTATCTACAACAGTTTTTCAAGATTATATTTACACAACTTGAATGAGAAAATGCAGTTATATACTAACTGGTAATCTCTGGATTATTAAAGACAAATATTTAAATAAGCAAGAAGGATGACAAATGTGTCAGTTTCACGGCTGTTGACATATTTGTAAAGTACTTTTCTGCTTGAGTGATACAAATAAGAGTGAGAGATTAAAATACCGATTTATCATTGTCCAAGAGAGGTTAATTACAGTAATGGTCAAAAGAGGTTAATCTATCATGTACCAGAAGAGGTTAAACATGATATTGATCTATAATTTGTCAAAGGAGGTTAATCATGATATTGATCTACCATGTGCCAAAGGAGGTTAAACATGATATTGATCTATAATTTGTCAAAGGAGGTTAAACATGATATTGATCTATAATTTGTCAAAGGGGGTTAATCATGATATTGATCTATCATGTACCAGAAGAGGTTAATCACAATAGTGGTCTAATATATGCAAAGAAAGTCTGCAGTGTGCAAATACTATATATATCAATTTCCCATTGTATATGTTTTGTATCTAAAGAGCTTTTAAAATTTGCTAAGTTCTAATTCTAGAACACACTAAATTCGCTTGAGGTTTTGTTGAGGTGTTACTTTGTGTAGCTGGTTCTTAATTATCTACTGTTTTGTGGAGTAGCTGCATTTGGTCCTGCTTTATCTTGTGTATAAAAGATCACGTTAAGACTGTCACATGGAAGAGAGATACATACAATGTATTTGTGATTGGTCAGCTACAGGGAGAATGATTGATTGGGAGAGCAGTTTTGACAGTTTCAGAGAAATTAAGGTTAACTCAGAAAAGGTTAAGACCTACTCTAAAGTGACCTGACCTTTATTATGTATGCTGACCTTGCATTATCATATTTTAATTTCAAGTTTGTTTAGTTTTATTTTATTTAATTTCTTCTTTTCAAACTGAATCATAATATGTGGATCATATAATAAACAGCACCTAGCTGTATTCATCAGGTTTATTTGTTTTCTCTCTTTCACACTTCTGACTTAACGTTCCTTCCAATCAAATTTTTGAATCTCCCATTATGCAGGAATAACTTATAGGTGTGCCAATACTCCTCAAATAATACACAACAACAATCTGTTGTATGTTGAGAGAAATTAAATACAATATTGATATATGATATGTCAAGAGAGATACTAATCACAGTATTGATGTATGATAGGTCAAGAGAGATACTAATCACAGTATAGATATATGATACGTCAAGAGAGATACTAATCACAGTATTGGTATATGATACGTCAAGAGAGATACTAATCACATTATTGGTATATGATACGTCAAGAGAGATACTAATCACAGTATTGGTATATGATACGTCAAGAGAGATACTAATCACAGTATTGATATATGATAGGTCAAGAGAGATACTAATCACAGTATTGATATATGATACGTCAAGAGAGATACTAATCACAGTATTGATATATGATATGTCAAGAGAGATACTAATCACAGTATTGATATATGATACGTCAAAAGAGATACTAATCACAGTATTGATTTGTGATATGTCAAGAGAGATACTAATCACAGTATTGATATGTGATAGGTCAAAAGAGATACTAATCACAGTATTGATATATGATACGTCAAGAGAGATACTAATCACAGTATTGATTTGTAATACGCCAAGAGAGATACCAATCACAGTATTGATATATGATACGTCAAGAGAGATACTAATCACAGTATTGATTTGTATGTATATTAGGATAGTTCACAGTTTGTTGTGCAGGGCTAGAAATACTTTAGTGTAAGAAATGATTCTGTCAATATTATTACTATTTGTACTTAACATGGACATTTCAGTTTTTAAACTTTTTTGCTTAAAAAAAATAGGAAGTAAACTAGAATGTTTCTGTAATTCAGTTTCTTTTCATAATATTTCCGTCTTTAATAAGTTAGAAAGGTGAGCTTCGGTTTCTGATAGAATACGTCTGTTGTCTGTACTTATCAATCTAAGAATGATTTAGTTACTAAAACATCCATTATCTTCAACCTTTAATTCAAATTGAACTCGGTAGCTAAAAAATAACAGCATTTAAATTGATAAAACAGTCTGGCATCTTGGTAGTCAAAACCACCCCATCAGTATAACTGGTTTTGTTAATATGAATTATTTTTAAGACAGAAAATTTCTCTTGCTCTTAATTGGTGGTATAATTCTGTGTTAAGGATATAATGTGCTAACAGATTGTATTTTGTTCTGTTTTATAAATAAGACTGTCTGGAGGAAATTTCTGTGAAGAATTCAAATTATTTGGTGATTATAAAATCAAATCTTGTAAGGAAACAACTTCTTGACAAAAGATTGTTTAAGTTTAATAATTCAAATTAGCATTTGTACGTTAAACAAAGATAAATCTATTGCTCGTATTGTTGATGTATTTTATTAGTTTTCTAACATTGCATACAATTTGAATTGTTTCCTCTTATACCAGATATACATTAGAGCTGAGCGACATGCAAGTCCTGGTGGGTCGAGTGAAGGATAATAGGAAGTTTGCACAACTGAAAGGGACTAGTGCGATGCACGTGGTCGACAGGTTTTCCATTTCTCTTCAGACTGAAAGGTTGGGAATATTTTAATGTGTAGTTAATTTGTCTGTTAAAAGACTGATTTACAGATATTAAAAGTGCTGCTTTTGTTCATTTCAAACATACGAACTGAAAGGGACTAGTGCGATGCACATGGTCGACAGGTTTTCCATTTCTCTTCAGACTGAAAGGTTGGGAATATTTTAATGTGTAGTTAATTTGTCTGTTAAAAGACTGATTTTCAGATATTAAAAGTGCTGATTTTGTTCATTTCAAACGTACGGTGGTTTGGATATATAATATTTATTTTAATTGGCAGGAACAGGGAGTGTGATTACGAGGTCTTAACTGATACTTGTTAAAGAGTACAAATTTTTTCAGTAGGCTTTAATGATAAGGCTCTTGTACCTGGACAGTGACCCGACTTTCTGTTTCCACATCCATTTATTTCAGAATTAATAACAAACTGACATAAAGTACTTTGATATTTGGCAACAAACATGATGCTTTATCACAATAATCAATTTTAGAAAGAAAGCTTTCTAGTTTCCCTGTGTTATAGCCCAGTGGCTCAGCAGTAAGTCTGAAGACTTATGATGCTAAAAACCGAGTTTTGATACCCGAGGTGGCCACAGGACAGGTAGCTCGTTGTGTAGCTTTTTGCTTAATGACAAACAAATAAACCGTAATAGGGATATGACACCTTATTACTTATTAGAACCTACTGACACATAGATATGGATATTTTCTTTACAGGAGGTTATTCTTCACTACAGATCCACATTTTCCAGCAGTGACATTATCTGGTACTCTTCCTAAGCTGACCTTTCACATCAATGAACAAAAGGTACTCTTGATAACTACTTCTTTGTTAGACAACTTGTCACTCAGAGTCATGTTTGACCAGTGGTCAAACTATAAGATCAGTTGTATATAGTTCCCAATGAACATGTAAATTGTGTTGAATTTTTGAGGTTTAACAAAATGTTAGTAGGAGATTACTGTTCAGCTTCAGAGTCATGTTTGACCAGTGGTCAAACTATAAGATCAGTTGTATATAGTTCCCAATGAACATGTAAATTGTGTTGAATTTTTGAGGTTTAACAAAATGATAGTAGGAGATTACCATTCAGCTATATTTGTAAATTAAAAGTAACCTTGTGTAATTTAATAAACTATAACTCGGCATAATAAACTAAACATAACTTGTTATTAAGTATCTCACAGTTTTTACTTAGACTTTTCCCTTATACTTTAGTTTATCAAAGGGTTGCTCTCTGAAACCTTGTGTATTTTTTGAAAACTGTTGTCATATAAATTAGTCTTGAGAAGTTAAAAAACTAACTTTATACTCTGAATAGCAATTTAGCAAACAAAGTACAAAATTGATTTTCATCTTTGAATAGCAATTAATAGTAGCAAACAAAGTAAACACTAACTTCAAATTCCAAATAATAATGTAGTGAACAAATTAATTCTAACTTTGAATTGTAATGTAACGAACAAACGTACAAACTACAAAAAGCAATGTAGCGAAGAAACTAAATACTAACTTTAAACTTTGAATTGTAATGTAACGAACAAACTTACAAACTACAAAAAGCAATGTAGCCCCAAACACTACTGTACAAAAAACACTTCTTATAAAGCCCAAACACTACTGTACAAAAACACTTCCTATAAAG